CACACAGTCGGAAGAGCATTCACAAATAAAAGCCCTACAACAACGCCTCCAAACCTTCGTTGCACAACGTTGGGAGGGTATACGCATAAGAGGAAGAATGACACGGAAGGTTTTATGGATTAAAAAAATTCAGTATGGCCCGTGCATGCATGCACATAACAAAAATAAAAGCGTTCTATGACCCGCAGTCGGGTCACAATGACGTGGTCACCTCTACCCCTCAATGCACACAGATAGCAATTTTTTTTTTTAAGGACCTATTTACCTTGAGGTGTGGTCAACAAGAGAAGGACGTCAGGGAGAAGGAAATCGCAGGATTTTTAAACCCGATGACAAAATTCATGACGGGCCAGCAAAGATTAGATTTGGACCGGCCCCTATCCAAAAAGGAAATCTGGTCAGCAATGATGCAAATGGATGAGGAAAAAAACCCGGGTGCGGATGGACTCCCCAAGGAGTTCTGAAAGACCTTCTGGTCTCAAACGGCCCCAGACCTCATTGAGTTCTATCGCCTAGTTTGGGAGACGGGGAGTACGGGGGAGCTGAAAGGGAAAGGTATCCTCACATTGCTGCACAAAAAAGGAGACATGATGGGTATCAGAAAGTACCGCCCTATCACGTTGCTTACCATCGTGTATAAGATGTTGGCAAAAGCCTTAGCCAACCGGTTGATTCCGGTGCTGGACTAGATTTCCCATCCGACACAAACGGGTTTTGTCAAGGGCCGTAGGATTCAGGATAACATTGTGTTGGTCAATGAACTCCTTAAGCTAACTAGGCAGGATAAACAGAACGTAGCCGTGGTCTTCAACGATTTTGAGAAAGCCTATTACCATGTTGACTGACTGTTTTTGAATCGTTGCATGGAAAGAATGAACATAGGTCCGATATTCCGCCACTAGACCGAAATTCTCCACAGCAACGCAACCACAAACGTCCAAGTGAATGGCAGATTGACGCCGCCATTTCCGCTGCAATGGTCTGTCCGCCAAGGCGATCTATTGACACCTTTCTTGTTCAATGATGGAGGCATTAACAGCGAACCTCAGAGCAAACAAAGATCTAAAAAAACTACAGATCTCGGCCATCCCCGAAGAAGCAATCCCCATTTGTTCGATGTTTGCGGACCATCTGAAACTTATGGTGGATGTTACCATTGAGAACATGAAAGAGATTACACGTCTCTTTGACAGACTTACAAAAGTCTCAAACATGACTGTCAATTGGGGTAACAAAACACTGGGATGGTGGATCCACCACCAAGGGGTGCGCCCCCTGGAACTGCCCCAAGTTAAATGGCTCCCAGAATCAGCCCCGGTGAGAGTGTTGGGAATCCTGTTAACAACAACAGGAAGACCTGCGTTGAGCGATGATTGCATTCTTAAACCTGCATTGGAGAAGCTGGCACGTTGGAATGATCCCTGATTGGTAGGGCGTTAGTGATTAATAGTGTGGTGCTGGATGCTCTATGGTACAAATCTGTTGTATGGGCACTTAGCAAGGATGCACTACGGTCGCTTAGGCGGCAAATAAAAGCCCTGCTGTGGAGAAGTAACAACGAGCTTCAGAATGTTATCAGCAGGGTGGCCTGACTATCGGTAATCCAACCCAAAGACAAAAGGGGCTTGGGGATTCTGGATCCCATTACTCATACCACAACGCTAATGGTTCAATGGATTAAGAGGTTGGTGCTCACACATGACCTTCCCTGTACGCCCTGGCGCTGGAACAGATTGCCCGGCTGGCCCCACAAGCACCACAAACAGTTGACCCCCTTACTTGGCTAGAAGACCGTTTCCAATCCATCCCACGACGCTCCCGCGCTGACCAGACCACGAGCCAGAGCGCAGCCCGTGGCGACCTAGTCAGGGATAATTTCTGGATCCGATGCTTGCGAGCTTGGCGCCAGCTCTCGCTCCAAGATAAACCCAGACCAACCAGGTGGGAAGAGCTGGCTAGACAACCCCTGTATGGAAACAAAAATATCATGGACCGGAACGGAAGGATATTCTGCAGCTCGAACACCCCTTGGAGCAGCTGGTTTAAGAAAGGCATACTTAGAGTTAAAGATATCCGGGATCCAGAAAGCAAGGGCTGGAAAACGGCGCCACAGATGAGAACCTCGTTGAAACACTGTCACAACATAGAAAAAAAATCTGGAACAACTGATCTTTGCAATCCCTCTGGACTGGGTGCGCACTCTGCCCAAAGAACCAAGGCTAGTAGAAGGGGATTGGGTTGCTGCTCCGGGAGACCCGAAAAGTGTAGGGAGCGTTGCCGAGGTACGCGCAGAGGAAACACTAGTAAACCCCTTCCATAAAGGAACCGACAATGTGCTAACCAGATACACCCCGGACGTGACGAGATGGTGGTGGAACACTGATCTGCATAGGATCCGGGTGTTGAAAATTAAGGAAGAATGGATTCATATCGGCCGCAGACCTACCTTGCAGACCTCCCCTTTGACCCTGAGCAATGGCAATTGCCCCGTGCACGAAGAACCTGGGTGACTAAGAATGTAATGCTTCTGTGCCTGTCGGTGAAGGCCACGTACTGGTTACTGCGCCCCATAGTAAACTTGAAAGACATCGTCAAAACCCGTTGGAGGTCTCATTTGAATGTGGGGGTAGACGTCATCCACCCCATTCGGTGGTTTACCCTCATGCGAGCTAGGCCTGCAAAGTTGGCCTTGCTACAATGGCAGATAGAACACCGCTCCCTCCCCACAAACAACTGGCTGATCAATCTCACATACCTGGAACAGAAAGGCCTGGCGCTCCCATGGTATAAGTTGTGTCACATGACGTTCCCCTCCCGCAAGATCCCAGAAACAATTGAACATATATTTCTACAGTGTTCGGGGGCTGTCCTTACACGGCGTTGGTGGGACAGAATCTGGAACCTGCTGGGTACGGGCTCTACCTGGCCATGGGACTGGAGGGCGATTCTATGCGAAACATGGACCTCCCCCTCAGATAGTTCCTTCGAAAATAACATGTTCAAGATAGGGAGGAGAGCCGTCCTGTGGGCCATCTGGAGGAGACACTGCATACATGCCATGGAAGGGGTCCGCATAGCCGGGTAGGAAATGACGGACATGGTCAAACAATATGTACACCAGGATCTTATGGCACAATGGCAGAAAGTTAAAAGTCAGCTGGATCTGTTTCAGACACAAAAAGATATAAAACAAAAAATCCAACAATTTTCAGGGGGCTGCACCCAAGACGGTAATCAGGGCATCGATGACGGTAATCCAGGTACGATCAAGAGAGATTATTATATCTGTTTCAGGGATTGGACAACGGTGGATCCCAGAATTCCGTTGCGGCCTCCCTCAGACTTTCCCGACCCTTTTCGCCCCCATCAGCGGACCATGGTGGATGCAATGGTATGGGGTGGTATGAGCAAGCCAGCAGTGTCAATAGAAGGGGTACCTCAAAGGTAGCAAATATCTGGTTCCAGGTTTCAAGCAGCAGCAAGTCCAGCTCTTTTCCTCTCCACACAAGCGGGACCAAGGCATGTGGGGAGGGAGGGCGACGACACTTGGGACAGCTGGGATAGAGTCAGTTGGGATAGGGTGTGTATCTCTCAACAACCTTTTTCTTAGTTACTTTTCCCCCTCGGAGCTTCCTGAACCCCTCCCACCCCATAGTCTGTTATGGGCAGAGTGAGTGTGGGTGCACAATCTGCATAGTTATTGAGTTGCAGTCTTGCAGAGGATTAATTTGCTGTATCTAAAAGAGGGGACGGGGACTAGGTCGTCATGCATTTCGGGCGCCCAGCAGCAAGGCTGAAGAGGCCCCCTCTTCCCCCCTCTCTGGCTACTCATATTCTTGCTCAGTTAATCCCCTGTTCTCAGGGCAATCAATGCTGGCAGAAGATGAGGAAATCTTCAGTGGCTTTTGTTAAGGGACGCTGGACCCGTTTTCCCGCAGGTGTTGCTCCCCAACAATAGACGGAGCCTCCCTGGGGCAGATAGAGGCGTCTGCTCATACCAGCACCCCTAGCTCCCAAGCGGCCAGTTTTTCAAAAAAAAAAAGAAAAAAAAAGGAAAAAGGTAAAGAATGTGATTGATGGGGGTTATTTCGAAGGAGTTTCGGGTGAAACCGAGAAAGAGATTGGTGGTGGGACTTACCTACGAAGAACGGGACTTCCAAAAAGGCGCTGCGAGATCTGGTGAAAGGGAGAGTTAGGAAACAGTTCCCAGAGTGCGTCAGTAAGGTCATTTGCAGGCGCCTGAGGATTGTTTCGAAACGTAACCAAACAGTTGGCCAGGCGCTGCAGAACCACAGAGCAGCAGCTCATAACGTGGTTGGTGTCTGCCCTTGTGCTATGTAACACCCGCGGACGCGTCTGCAGGTCCAATCTTGGATGGCGGACGCAGACGGGTCCACGTCCGCGGCCGACCTGGTCCGCGCCGCAGACCCGATTTTACAAGAATTTTCCTGACTTAAATAATAGGTTAAAAATATATATATATATATGGGGTTGTAGGGAATTTTAAGCCCTACAACCCCATATATATTTTTTTGGAATCCGACTTTGTTTCGGATTTAAAAAAAATGAAAAACTAAATTCGATTTATATACTGCCTATGGTTTACCGGGCAGTTCTATTTGACGATATATAAAGAAAAGTTGGATTTTTTTTTTGTCATTTTTTATCATGAGATATATGGTCCCTGAGTTCACCTGTATTTTTTCAGAAATGAATTGCTGTTTTTTTGCAGGGGTATGAGGTGTTTTAAAAAAATGCAAATGCAAAATTTGAAAATAAATAAAGAAAAAACTTCAAAAAAGGCGTTTGATTGATTGATTGATTGATTGATTGATTGATTGTGAGTGAGTGTGTGTGTGTGTGTGTGTGTGTGTGTGTGTGTGTGTGTGTGTGTGTGTGTGTGTGAGAGNAGAGAGAGAGAGAGAGAGAGAGAGAGAGAGAGAGAGAGAGAGAGAGAGGTAAGTAAGTTGGGTGCTTCAAATTTTCAGAGGAGGACAGAGTCGGTTCATGCTTCCGTGTAAACATTGAAAATTGCAAGCTTGCTGCTATAGGAGAGGATAGGAGATATAGCTGCTTGGAAGTTGGAACAACACTGGCTGGAAGATTTAGAACCTTGACAGGTACCCTGCCCCCTTAATATGGGCCTTTTGAAGTTGCATTTGGGCCTGATTTGGAACGAGGGATTAAGTCAGCAAACAGTGAGAAAAGGAAGAATAGACGGCAAACGGCGGAGAGGGGCAGAAAAACCGCGCTGTCTACAGTTCATTCTCTGGGGAACTTGCCCAAATAAGGAAGAAAGGCGTATAGCATGCATCCTTTGGAGAATGACTAGAAGGCCACTTGTACCTTGTTGCTCAAGTGATCCAACATCCAATGAATGCGCAACCATCACATCAAACGCTTCAAGGAGAGTTAGGCACATGCCACACATCACCCAGAAGCACCACAGATCACCCTGAAGCGCCTGCAGCCGGTGTGGCGTCAAACTGCACGCTCCCTGCCGAACAGACATCGACACTCACAAAACTTCACTCTCAGAACAATGATGACAACTCGTCCATCAGCTTGTTGACAAAACCAAAAGCAATAATGACTCATATGAGACTCTTCCATTTCCGGCGCTCCTCGCTGCAAATCATCCTTTCAGGCGCCGAAATTGAGGCAGGTGCCACACATCACACAGAAGGGCCTCCCACAGGTGCGGCGTCAAAACTCCACGCTCCCCTTCCAAACAGTCACCATTGGTCGACAGGGTCCAGACATGATGTTGTTTGAGAAGGATCCTGACAACTCTTCGGAAGTAGAGCTTGTCGACAAAATGACCCAAAAATAACACTAATGAGAGCTGAGAGTACCCACATCCGCAACATGTTGGTTCTCTCTCCGATTTCGGGTCTAGTTACCTTCCGCCGTGAAGAATCCTCTCTCCTCCAGGTACGAGGCAACGCGTTCCGCCATTTCTTGTGGAAGAATGGCAGTGCCCCAGTCATCTCGCACCTCCATCGTAATCTAGGGCAGACGTAGACCAACAACGAAGAAGCAGAAGAACAGCAATCGTCACTCTTTCAATTGATACGAAATGTCAGGCCTCAACCTCACATCCCTACCAAGATAATCTAGAGCAGACGTACACTGGCAACAAAGCAGAGCAGCAACAATTGTCACGACCAGCAAGGAAGGAGAAGAACAACAGCAATCATCACTCTTTCAATCGATACGAAATGTCCGGCCTCGACCTCGCATCCCTACCAAGATAATCTAGAGCAGACGTACACCGTCAACAAAGCAGAGCCACAACAATCGTCATGACCAGCAACGAAGAAGAAGAAGAAGAACACCAGCAATCATCACTCTTTCAATCAATACGACATGTCAGGCCTCAACCTCGCATCCCTACCAAGATAATCTAGAGCAGACGTACACCGTCAACGAAGCATAACAACAACAATCGTCACTCTTTCAATCAATAGGACATAACAGGCCTCAGCAGTGTATAACCTGTCTCTTATACACATCTAGATGTGTATAAGAGAGCATGCTAGTGGTGTCTGCTCTTATCAGCACCCCTAGCATTCACTGGGGTTGTTTTCTCAAAAAAAAAAAAAAAAAAAAAAAAAAAAGGATTGGATAGATGGGTAAAACCGGGGGAAGTATGGGAAGTTGTTAAAACTGAGGAGAACTGTGGAAGGGGAGGTGAGAACGGTGTTGTTGAACGATGGGGGAAGCTGTTGGTAAACTTCGTGCGGGTGCCACTCGATAAGAACCCCGCGGAGACATTAGTCATATGCCCGAAAGCGTATGCAGATTGAATGAGGGATATCTTTTCGGGGAAAGAGAGTTTCAGCGCAGTGGTAGTAACAGAGGAGGATGTGCGAGTGGAATGCAAGGAGAAGTATCGCGAGGGAGGCTTTGATGAGATAGGAAGATGGGAAGGGAAAGGGAGGTTGGGCCATGCATATATTATGCCGAAGAACAAGGACGTTGGTAAGCTCTGACCGATCACACCGTCATACTCGGAACCTTTGAGACAAGCAGGGCAGAGGATTGCGAGGGCATTGAATGGTATGATTACCTTGTTGCCCCCGACACGGCAGTTTAATTTGAGATCGACGGGGGATTTGAAAAGAAGAGTGGAGAGGATTTTGAAATGGGCACAGTAAAAAGGGAAAGGAGGAACTGTAAAAGGATTATCGTTCGATGTGAAGGAAATGTTCAACAAACTACCGCACACATCGATACTAAAGGCAGTCGAGTGGCTTGGAAGAATAATGAAGGAAAAAGGGAGGAAAGGAGTGTATGTGAAGAAGAGAGGGGAGGGAGTATCCTTTGCCAAGCAAAGGGACAAGGACTGGCCGTGTGCGAGTGTAAGGCAACTGGGAAAATACGTCCGGTATGAGTTGGATAATACCTTTCTGGTGGCGGCCGGTAGACTACTCAGACAGACAAAGGGGGTGCCCATGGGAAAAAGAAGCAGTCCGCCATTGGCGTGTTTGCTGTGTATCTATAATGAGGTAATTTTTTTGGAGTCATTGGGCAAGGATAGGGGGTTGGTCCAAGGGGTGAGGCTGGTTGACGACCTGTCAGTATTTGTGTGGGAGGGAAGGACAAATAAAGGGAAGGAAAGGGCCATGGGAGTGACGGGAAAGTTAGCAAGGATCTATGACGAGAATCTGCAGTTAAAAAGGACGGATGATGGTAGTGGGGCCTGGACCTTTCTAGGATGCGAGTTGAGAATCAGAAAGGAACCGAACCGGGTCGAAATCCGGTACAAAGGGAAAAACGAGGAAAATATGTGGTCACAAGGGTACTTGTACAGATCAATGCAGAGTTTTGGGTTGTACTCTGACAACAAGCAGAAAAAGGGAGTCATAGGTAGCGCGTTAGCCCGAATCCGGCCCTGTACTTCGACAACGGAACTTGCGGAAATGCCTCTGCTATCGCTAAGTAGGGAACTCAGGCTGCTGAACTACCCGAGGGAATTTTTTACCAGGACACTGGCAGGACACTGGGACGGTTCGTGAGGACGAGAGATCCAGAATGGAAAAAACTCTGGGATTTAGGCTAAGTAGGACCGACGGCGTCAGCTGTATTTAACAGTTGACTGCCGCCCATTCATTACCAATGAGGGCCGCCTAACCCCTGAGGATGCCAGCATTTGGCGGCGGTTGAAACGTGCGTAGGGGACAGCCAAAACACGCTAGAGGGGAACGGGCGCTTGGGTATTGGCGATGATCAGAGAGCAAGGAGAGGTGAGATGGACGCTGGCGTCGGGTTGAGCTTAATGATTTATCGTAATTTGATTCTGGCCCCTTGATTGGGCTTCTTGCCTATGGAGAATGTATCTATGTGTGCTTGATGCATGATGATGTGTGCAATCTTTCCGGGCTTTGGTGACGCATCGTGTTCACTCTCATGTTCCACTGTTCCACTATTTGTTTTGTTTTCACTTTCTCGACATGTTATTGTTTCTCAAAAGAATTTGTACTGAAGCTTTGAAAACATATATGCAAATTCCCTACGCTTCGCCCTTTGTTTTCGTCTTCCTTTCCTTGTTGAAGAAGAGTTGCTAAGTGAGTAAACCATTCTTTTGTAAGTCCATCAAGAGAGCTTCACAACTTTCCTTTGTGCTTCGCGCCTTTCCAAGAGTCTGACACGGCAACCAGTTTACCACTTTCATCGGCGAACAACCGAACCCTTGGAACCTCGACCTTCCACCAGTACTGATGGGGTACAGGGTTGCCGAGCCCAGGCCCCGGGGCCCGGGGGTCAAACCCCTACCCCGGCTTGGGCCCCCGGAATCCCCACGTGACAACACTGGGTAAGACTATGCCTTTACCATATTCACTACAGTCACCTGTAATAACTTCTTTCTTATTTATATATGAATCATCCTTCGGGCATCATCCTTCGGGCTTAAATGTCAAATAACTTGAAATAAGAGAGGCTTTTGCTTCCCATTGCATGCTGCAGGTGTAGAAGGGTTAGAACGTTAGAAGAATGAAGACCAGATAATAATAATAATAATAATAATAATAATAATAATAAGAAGAAGAAGAAGAAGAAAAAGAAGAAGAAGGAGAAGGAGGAGGAGGAGAAGAAGGAGAAGAAGAAGAAGAAGAAGAAGAAGAAGAAGGAGAGAACGAAGAAGAAGAAGAAGAAGGAGGAGGAGGAGGAGGAGGAGGAGGAGGAGGAGGAGGAGGAGACGAAGAAGGAATACGAATATGAAGAAGATATGATGCGTGCAAACATCACCATTGGCATACTTTCCGTAACACTGCAGATTGATGGCACAAACTGCATGGGCCAAGTTTTGTGAAGCACCGGCAAGTACATAAAAGTGAACATGCTCTGGTCCAGATTTGCATCGCAGCACAACGCTTATCAAACAGTTAACCTATCAATCGGAGTCAAAACTTCTGTTGCCAGCACACCACCGTTAAGAGAGTCAAAACTCACTTGTGGCAGGAGAAAGTAGCCAAGCACTCGGGAAAAGGACGGGCATCCGTCGGCATCCGTGTGTGTGTGTGAGATGTGCGTGTGTGTGAGAGAGAGAGAGAGAGAGAGAGAGAGAGAGAGAGAGAGAGAGAGAGAGAGAGAGAGAGA